AATAATCTACCTTCATGATTCTCAGTCTTTTTAGTTTACCAAAAACAATATCCACAGGCATGTATTGACTCTCAGCCCTCTTTAGCATCACCGATAGTGATATTTTAACGTTCAATGATATTTGCTTGGCGGATTTGTTTGTGAGCCGGGTCGATTTGGATAGTTTGCGGACTGTCAGGAAGTATGGGTGTTTGCCATTTTATTTAGCCCCCTCAATACCTGAGACTACTTTTATGATAAATAGCTTACGCCGTTGTTCTATCCTTACTTTCATGGTTATCGGTCCCTTTAGTTTACCGAAAAAATGTCCACGGGCATGTATTGATTTTCAGCACTTTTTAGTATCATTGATAGTGTTTTTAAACGTTCAATGATTTTTGTTTTCTGTTTGTTTTTGTCAAAATTTCTTGCAATAGGGGCGAGCTGGTAGACAATCCTTGTACATAGGTTTAATATATAGCTCATACTCGGGGCTAAACGTTATAATTCAAACAATTGAGAGGCCCGAGAATATCTCAGATAGACACATCTGATGGTTCAGTCGGTACAATTTCCATCCCTGGATTAATAGGGGATCGGCCAGCCCAGTGAACATCCGATTTTGTCTTACTAGCATCACCAACATTTACATGAGAATCGTCCATTCCTATGTGCTACATTGAATACTACTAGTGATGTTTACAATGTGTGCAATAGGGAGTCAGATTAATCCACGATTCAATTGGTGACTGTACTTAAGACGCATAATTGTATCTTTATTTGCATGTGGTCCCATTTTTAGACCCAGGTCTTCTATTTTTAGGCCCAACCTACAATCCGCGGTTATTTGAAATCGTGCAGAGGATCTACTAATCTCGTCGCGACCTCTTCTTCGCCTGCTTCGATAAACAGTATTAACAACAGCATAGGAGACAATCAGGGTTTAGGCATCACAATAAGCGTTCAATTATCGAAGTATGTATTGCACCCAAACGCAAGTCGACGACAAGAGAGTAGAGCCACTTGCGACATTGTCTCACGGCTCACAATTCAGATTTGCATTCTTATGAAAACATCATTCTCTCTCAAGACGCACACGTGGCCGTACAATAAAATCGCTGCAACAGCAGTACCTCTCGCACACATACATATACATATTTATATATATGTAAATAAAATGCATGTACGTGTCAACATATATAAGTGTATCATAAAGCACACACGTTAATATCGGCTACAAACATACATACGCGCGTCTATGAGTAGAAACTTAAACCTTCCAATCGATACTCTGCTACACAACCAAGGGGGGGGGGAGGTGAACTGACTTTGCCTACCTTTTTACTTCTAGAGCTCTCTTTTGGCCTGTCCTCGTCCTCGTCACTGGAATACCTCCTCGATCGTTTACTGATGATTAAAATAAGCAAAAGGAATCAAAGCAGACATGTGAGTCAGTGGGATGGATGATATCTAAAATGAGAAAGTGCATATGAATAAAATGCTATTCGTTGCCAGTAAATACCACAGTTGCAAAACACTATCGTAGCCTGATGCATTCAAGCGGATTTGAGAAGTCAATATTTGCTATGTCAAACGAGAACGGAAAATCAATGACGATATTTGAGACCAAATGTCACAGCGGATTAATGCACTGTATCTGATATAAAATATTAATTTGCTGATGTGCTTAGTAGGTACAAATACATGTAGACCCCCCATTCTATCGATCGCAATGTTTGCTTTGATATCGCTTAAATGAGTGACGTTGTCTATTACTCTGCCCATCCTTACTTGTGTACAAACCTAAAGTGCTACCTCCCACACCAATAACTTCATGTCTAAGTTTCGATATTCAACACAAACATCACTTATCTACACATAAATGCAAGTGTACAATTGGAGGGTATGCATCGTATATATTAACACACACCTCTTTCTATCGTCATGACTGCTCTTATGTCGCCTGGACGAGTGCCGGTGTCTGCCGCTCTTTTCCTCTTCTTCATCTGAGCTGTACGTCCTACGCCCACGGCTGCGACTTCGACTACGGCTGCGCGATACACTCCTCGACACACTGCGCGTTCTGCTCCGGCTCCTATGTATGAGGAATACGAGAAAACACACACCGTGAATACACACTATATAGCACACGGCCACTATACATATAATACAGCCAAAGTTGTAGAATGTATCGAAAGTGCATTTGGATAGGTGATAGTGCTACGCCTGTAATTATGCCTAGGACTGCAAAAGTGATTGCGACGGCGACTGTGCGACGCACATCCTCGACACACAGCGTGTCCTGCGCCGGCTCCTAGATATATACAAGTGTGCATACTGATTACAATACTATATTCAAGTGAAGAGGCTACGCCCACGACTGCGACTGCGTGATACACTCCTCGAAACATAGCACGCCCTCCTCTTATTTATAAGTTACCCGAGTAGGCACACACATAAATTATGCAATCTCTCTATGTACTTAAGTAGGAAAATGCATGCAAAAACAGTCAATCTTAGAATAGTGATAGAGTGCAGAATTTATCACAAGTATATATTATCTAGATAGATAAATACGACTATGCGCATATATATTTATATATATATTCATAAGTTTAGAACGTATCTTAGTGTTAGAGCTATGCCAGCGACGGCGACTGCGGTAACGTGACACACTCTCTAACGCACTGCGCGTCCTGCTTCTGATTCTGAATGCGAATGAGTTGTGGCACACACACACACACACAAAAACATATATATAAATAAATAAATATAAGCCCTACCTGCTGCGACTATTCCGCGATCGGCTCCTGCTACGCCGACTGGACTTCGACTTCGACTTCGACTTGCTAGACGATTCATACTTGCTCTTAGTAGACTTTCGTGACCGCCCATGCGAGCTCTTATCCTTCGAAGATACGGTGTACTCTCCCTCATCTCCACTGGAAGCTTCGCCTTCTTCTCGCTCATGCTTAGCGGGATTGCTTTTGAGCTCTGTGAGCACTTCGTTGAATACATCCTCGCGGTGGCTGTCTAGGTCGATATTCTTGAAGTGGAACATGCCCTCGACACGTGGCCGGATCTATATAGGCGAGAATGTATGCGAGTACAAATGAATATATAAGAGTGTGTGCCGGTCTGAATATGTGCATGATATATATTCACGTATGAATGTAGATGCGTAATTCTATCTAACTATGTGCCTGAACGTGATTGGTTTAATGCGATGATTGTACTATATACTGAGTGAGAGGTAATTGGCGCTAAATTTGATTCAGTATGTATTTTGTGGAATATCAGCAAAGCGCACCAAGTACAGATAATTGTTTAGTAAATTATACTGAAATTCTGAGTACATTGAGCACAAACAAGCATCAGATATTACGTTGGCAATCGGGGTTTCTTGCATAATACCCGGTCTTAATGTTTTTGAGTAGCACACACTGCAGGTACGCTAAAAGTACAATCAGCAATCGAAATCCATCCAACTTATATACTGTGTTAAAATTGTTTGAAAACAACAAGCACACACATTCCTTCGAGCTACACACTGAAGGTATAGTCAAATCGTAATATGTGTTGGTGGATCTTCAGTAGACATACTGCAAGGCAGTATTTAAGCACAATCAGGGCGATCATCCGAGCAACATACACACTAAGCAGATATATCAGCTCGATAAACACTAGCAACCATCCAATCAACACAATACACGCATCTATACAGACAGAGTACACGCTAATCTCCCATCAACATGCATATTGCAAAGGCATTTGAGCACAATCAGTGCCAATGTCCGACCAACACATATATTGTCGGCAGTTATATCAGCACCAAAACCGCCAATATACAATCAATAGACATAAACTAGATATGTATATAAAATATATAAACACCACAAGCCATAACTTCCATCCAGCATGTAAGTATCTGTTCGGCGCGAGAGAAGCCTTACCGTATCCCAAGTATCTGTCAAAGCAATTAGCGGATCGAGCGATCTCAGATCTTTAGCAAATGATCGCATTTTCCGTTTCAGCTCCTTTTCTGCCTCCTTCCTCTCTTCCGATTCCCTCACCAAAGCCTTCTCGATAAGCTACAAACGTAGAAATGAAATGTTAACAAGTTGCCATTTAAAATAGACGTGTGAGCCCACACCCACATATACATTTCTATATATACACCAGTCTTAAAAAAACATGCTTTCTTAATAAACCGCGTGTAGAAATCAATGGTTATTAGCTACAGCATCTTGTTGGTAATTGTCAGTCATCACTTGCCCTTAATGCACGGGTAGACGTGCATGCATACGTGCTTGAAGTGCATTCAAAATGTATATACATACAGTCAGCCAAAACACTTTCTAGTACAAATATGAAGGTAAGTAGATCACAGATATAAATTCACTACAGCAAATAAACGTGATCCTCTATACAATTGTGCATCAATATAAGATATAACCATCCATATAGTTAAATTTCAAGGTCGAATACTAAATTTGTCTCGGTCAAGTACGCATCTTAAATTTGCTGCACACATGCGAAAAGATCAGAAGCACGCACACACGCACACACATATATATATGTATATATACATATATAGTCATTACTGAATACTTACCTTTTGATACGTCAGCTCAATATTTACGGGTGTTATGACTTGAGCTCGGGCATCCCCAGCCAAGATTTGTTTGAACTCGTCGAGCGATGTGTTCCCTCTCATTTCGAACGATATACCTTTCAGTATCATTCTGCAAAGAGTGTAGGTAATTCCCAAGCATCAGCTAAGGTACACAAGGGAGCGTTGTACACATGAAAACTCGTACAGCTTCCATATGTATATTGCTCCCCAGCTTTGGCAACTGGAGCTTTTGGGCGTATTGTGTCAAATAACAAGCCAATCTCAGTTGGAGTTGGGATGGGGTCGCTTCTATGCTAGTATATCTAATCAGTCGAATAATAATCTATAAATCGCTATTTCTGAGCACATACCATCGAAATCGAACAATCTCATACACATTTACTATAAGTAGATAGCTGGGCTCAATCGCAGTTTGAACTCGAGTCACTCTCAGATAGGGTAATACCTTATACAATTGTAGTGTGCCGATACGCAGTTTCTCAGATAGATCCATTCACATGCATTCTGGATATCTCAATCGCAAGTGTGATACGACTCTCACGTCACATCAGGGTACACTACACCACACTGCACTACACTACAATATATTACACTACACAACACTATACTAATGTGTAAAAACATACCCTATCGTGCTCATGTCCGTTGTCAGCTTCTCATACAGATCAACTATATACAGCTTGAATATTTCAATCGCAGTCACACCCGACGTATCGAGCATGGCGTTGAACGCGGGCTGAGGACCAATCAGAATCAAGGATTCCTTCCATGTGCTCAACGCATGGATTGAGCCTGCGATAGGTACGTAGAAAAGAGTGAGTGAGTATGTATGTATGTATGTATGTATGTATGCATGCATGTGTATGTGTGAGAGGGAGTGGGAGAGGGAGATATAGAGAGATTGTTACGTAAACAACTGACTTTATCGAAAAGGAGTTGAATGTGGCGGCCATGGTACCACAGACTTTTCGAGCGTTCCCAAAGAATGAATGTGAAGCTTTTGATACATAAAAAGTCGAATTGTTGAGCATATGTCTGACTATTACAAAGGCAATTCGACAGTTGTATCGTTTGACATATTTTGAGTGCGCGAGGAGACAAAAATAGTGAGGGATTGTCCTTGAAAGCGTCGCAGCGACTATCTATTTTTAGTAGCGAAACGATGTAAACCATACACATTGATGCACGACTTACACGAGTAAATAGCTATACATTTATGTTCCCTTGTCATAAGCAACTACACCTGACACACCAGGCCATACTACACAGAGCAGACAACGCCACATGCCACACAAACTGATGTTGTGCATGTCGTATTCATCAAATGGAGACAAAGCACAGGACATCCGACCATTTTAAATACACACACACACACACACATATATATATATATGACGATATAATGATATAACAATATATAAATAAAATAATATATACCTGTAGCGTGAAGCTCTTTCAGCAACAACACGTAAGCCTCTCGGGCACGGCGTTCTTTTCGCTTCCGCAGTTCACGTGCTCTGCGTCGTTCAGCCTCTGCTTCTTTTTCTCTGTATAAAAAAATGCGCAGAATGGAGGTAGGTAAATAATCGAAACTCTAAAAAACTCATATATACGTAGAAATGAATAAGAATCTTCGAGCATTTGCTGTTGTTGATTGATGTGAACAATTGAACAGAATATGATTGTAAACGCAGAGGTTACACAACGTTTCGATAAATGAAATACAATCACACAGTGATGGTCGTACACCGCACGACACATCACCACACTCTGCTCACTCAGGTGTTAAAATCGCGACGACCATAACACACTGAATCACAATAAACAATATACTAAATCACATGAACAGACTATACTAACTCCCATAAATAGACACTATACTAAATCACATGGATAGACTATACTAACTCATGAATAGACACTATACTAAATCACATAACAACAATGGGCAACTTTTAAACATCACGTTTATGCAGAAATATATATCTATACAAACACATCGCATCAATACACATCTCTCAAAATATCGTCCACACGACGATAGCAGACCAGAAGGCACGCCTCAATACGACATTTGGGAGGAAATCCTAACACATACACACCTTTCAAGTATCCCCAACTCGAACTGTCTTATCGCGGCGATCCGATACTCAGGTATTTGCAATAACTCGAGTAATTGTTCAGCATCTTCTCGTATAATTCTGTGCTTTTCCTTTTCTGCCAATGCCTCCTCGTCCAGATTTTGGTCCACGTTCGATTCGGAATCTGCATCTTTCTCATCCAGGCCGAGTGTTTTGCGGGTTTCTAGCTCCCGATCGACCAACTCGCGCGCCTGCGAACATTGTATATAATTCGGGGATGTAGTGACATTAATTCCACATTTATACTTAACAGGCGAAATAATATATATATATATATATGTGTGTAGAGTATGCATACGAAAATGTACATATTCCAAAATATAGCGATTAATGACCGCTTTCAAAAAGAAAATAAAAGAGGCTATGGGGAAGACGGGCAGCAGAGCCCCGCTAAAAAAATCCCATCTAGTATTCAGGGTCGTGTGCGAACAAGCACGACTACTATTTAAAAAGCACTGGAATAAATGCGGGATATCAGACCTATCAATTCCCACATAATATTTGGAGTTCATCTCGGATCAGACATGAACAAACATACTCACTGCGTACGTACCACAACGGACAAAAATAATACGGGATACGAGACCTACCATTTCCCACGTAGTGATCACAGTCAAGGGTTGCGACTCTAGTACCTCCCGGTATTTCTTCGTGAAGGCGCGGAGGCTCTCCTTCTTGACATTCTGTTGGGGTCAAATATGTAGAGAAATTGAGCTGGAGGATAGTGACATAGTACGGACGTAGACCACGATTGGGTACAATATCGCCAGAGACATGGGACATAAAACGATAGAAAGAGATTTAAATACACACACACACACGTATATATATATATATACCACTATATGTGAATACTAGATGCACACCTTCTCTTCAGTGAGCCGGTCCCTCTGGATGGATTCAAAAATGTCCATAGCAGCTCTCATAGATAACCGATTGAAGCCCTTTGACTCCTGCAGAAGGTCTTCCACTTGACGCCACTTCATATACGGTTTGATATCCGGATGCTCCTCGATTGTCTGCAGAATCGATACCAGCACAATTCCATTTTAATGTATATGTAACGAAATATAGATATATATGTACATGATGTACATACATACACAAATACACAAACACTTGCATACATACATACACATATAAATACAATTATACATACACACACATATATTTATACATATAAAAACTGCATACAACGCATGTCTTATCGATATCGAAGTCGAGTAAAGCTTCTGAAATTATTGTACCTACAACCCACTCAGTCCTATTTTTATTTTCGACCGGGGCAAGCAAGAGTGAAGTATTCATGATCAGCGTTCGGAGAGGCACTTATAGCTCCAGCTTCCAGATAAGACTTCGGTTTCACAAGGTGACAGATCGCGTTTGCGTCGACGCAAGCATGATACACCCGTATGTGATGATATATCATTGGTATACAGATAGGGTAACATACATACATACACACATGTGTATTGTACATAAATGTATGATTTTTATGAATCATTATGCTTATCTACGAATACGTACCCTCCGCAGGCTGTCCCTTGCGTCTCTCTCGGCCTGTATGTCTTCCTCCTTCTCCTCCTTAGCCCGTTGTAATCTGTACTCGTTATAGCCTGATACGTGCAACATCGGGGGCATAGTAGAAAGCACAGAAGGATATAAGAACATAATCTTCATGCCGTCGTAATATGGATAATAAGGAATTCGATAATAAATTATAACCTGAGTAGGTTCAACACAGGAAAGATAAGAGAAAGCATTGCAAGATACGAGAACAGACACTCCGTTACAACATCATAATGGGAATGGAGGATATAATAACAAGAAACCGAGATAGATGCTCGGACATATGTATGGTACACTGCCACAAAAATGAGATACACACACACATACATTTGAAAAATACAATATATATATAATTATATAAATATATATATATATATATAAATATACATATATGGGTCACATTTTCATGCAGTCCCGTTAGAGTGGCAAAATCCCTTCGGCATACATACACACATACATTGCTTCTTTTCGCTGAGTGTCTTCAACGCTCCCCAGCGCACATCGTGCTGGACCAGCTTGGACGCCTGGTCGAAACTATGTCCCGTAGAGCCAATATTGTACTCGGCAAACAGCCCTTTCAGCGCATTCTTAGCCTCTTCTTTCGTATTATACAGGAATCCATCCGCATTAGGGGTAGGTATAATCACTTCGGGTTTGGGTGTGGGTTGAGGCTCCACTTTTGGCTCGGTTGTGGTGACGCTGGGAGTGTCCATCTCCGGCTGCACTGCCGCATAGGATGGCGCTGTGTGGTAGAGGTAGTACGGTATGCTGGTATGAATCAAATGATTCGACTACATGTATATGAACATACATTCCAAACCGGATATTACATATAACCCAACAATCATCCAAACTCGTAAGATAATAACCCGAGAGTTTGACAGCGGGTTCTAGCTTTATTTACACTGTCAATGAGTCATACTGATGCACAGTTGCTTCTACGCTATTAGATCAACTTATACAATGCCATAGTGCTGAAAGAAGCGTATATCACTAGGCTTACGCCACCGCCGAACAAACGCTCTCAAGACGAGTGTACACTTACATAGCAACGTATTGTCTTTAGAAAAAACTATCCACAATAAACCAGGGTAGTACGCATACAAAATTACACAAGAATACATACCCGAGAGTTTGACCGCGGGTTCGAGCTTTATCTGAGCTTTCACAGGCGAGGGAACCACAGGAGAAGCGTGCATAGCAGGACTCATACTACCGCCGAACAAATGAGCTCGAGACGGATGGATGAAACCAGGTGCAGGGGTAGTAGGCTTGACATCTACCGGTTTACTATCTGTGGCATTTACATTTTCGATGCCAGGAGGACCTTCCTCTGCTGCCAAGGTTATAGTAAAATAGAGAGACATACGGGCGTATCTTAAAATGCATCGCTTGTATTACAAACATATACAGGCTCTTAAACAAGCTTCCCTTGTACTACATACATATACATACTCTTAAATATATACAGGGTTGCACTACAGATATTGCAATAGACAGACACAATAGATTATTAGACAGATAATATTGCTAGACATACTCTTAAACATCAATCACTATACACATGCGAGTGCATTGCTAGTCAGACATTACTACAAGCATACTCTCTTATATACATTTCTTGTACTACATGTATTGATATACCTGTGCCGTTGGTCGCCAGACTTGCCTTAGCCTTCCGTTTAAGTTCGATGAGCTCAGTGGGCTCGTTCCAAACGGATTCTTTGGTCACCTTGTTGTAGTAGTACGTTTTCTTATTCTCTGCCTTAAATTCCTTCCACACGGACTGTGCCAGAAGCTTTTCCTCGGCCGTCATCATCTCTTCGGGTTTATCCCACGACGATTGCTTGGTTATATTGTTGTAGTAGTATGTTTTTCCGGCTGAAAAGGCATAGGTGTATATGATCGGTGGAAGGTTAGTATATACCATAAGAGTACACCCTCAGGGGCACGGCTTTGGTATTACTGTAAATATCTAAATCGTGGAAGACGCCAGCTTATTTAACGTATCTTATAGTCTGGTGTTAAGCCCGGATAAGGGAAAATACACACATCTGCAGATGAGGTGAATAAGGTTAGGAATACAAGATAGGAGTACGAAAGAATAGGACAACATAAGTAGTCGGACTCAAGTGTCGAGTCGCACAACGAGCCTAACTACGAACGAATGATGAAAGTGTGTGTATCTGTACCTAAAGACACACGATCAATTGTGTCTGTTGCTTAGATGCCGCATGAGCAACGACATTCAATGTATGACATTTCGAAAGCATTCAAGGTCCCTGTAATACGGTACATCTGAGCGAATATAAGCAAAGAAGGTAATATATCTACTTCAGTACAGTACACACACACACACATATATATATACAAAATATTACATACAATAACGCACACACGCATACATAATGCACACAAACTTACACACACACAAAGACACGCACACGCACGCACATAACGCACACACATATACACACAAAGATACACGTAGACACACACACAGACAATATATATATATATATATATATATACTCTCTCTCTCTCTCTCACACACACACACACATATATATATATAATCGATCGATACACACAAACGCACACGCACAAACAGTATGAACACATACACGCACATATATATAAACATACAGTTACACACACACATATATATATATATATATATATATAGTATGTGTCTGTGTGCGAGTGAGTATATATACATATACACAAATTTCAATTTCAATATAAAAATATTGATGCGTATACACAGACACACTCAAGCACACTTACACACACATAGACACATAGACACAAACACAGACACGGACACACACATATATTTATATATATCAATGTAAGATTCAACACCATCTGTTTGTGTCAACATGAGCACTATATGTCACATACCTCTAATTTGGATTGCTCTTCAATACACTAGTGTAGTTCAAACACGATTGCCACATACACGCAACTTATTGCACACATGGCCACGAGCAATTACCAAAACTTATAACATACACATATCAAACCACACTCATCCTATCTAAAGACTAAATAGTCTCTAACCTGGCGTAGTGTGTGGTGTCCACAAAGGCTTTTCTTCCGCGCGAGGGGGTGGTCCCATACTCGCAGACGTTACTGCTGGGACACCGGGCGCTCCACTACTAACGCTAGGCGATGTATTGTTGACACCTGCCCCCCCCCCACCTACACCGGGAGGACCGGAAGTAAACATGGTGGATCTAATCCCATTGCTATTCGGTCTAATAGTGCCATTATTCATGTTATTCATGGGGTCATTTATCGGATTAGATGGGTTAGCAGCATTGAATCCAGGGGGTGGGCCTGGTGGAGGCCCCCGAAAGGGACCCCCTCCAAAGCCTGGAGGTCCCCCTGCTAGACCACCGGCAATAGGGGGCGGGCCACGTAGCCCACTAGAAAAATCCCTAGACATTGCTGGTGTTTTCTTGGGTGTTTAACGTTTGTATGTATGTGTGTATACGCGCGTATGTTGTATAGTGTGCATGAAATTGTGCATCTAGAAGTGTCGGTATATTATATGTACCGTTATACACGAAAGATAGCACACTGAACCTAAAGATATTCCAGAGACTATGTCGAATACACTTGCAGCTGTGCTTCAACTACAGTGTAACTCCACGCCACTTGTGCATCCACTTCGTTCATACACGACAAGTGCCTGTATTTACTATTTAGCTCTGAATGCTGAGTAGTATTTAGATATATACGAGAGAGATGTTTTTTAAGGAGGCTATGAGAGAGAGTTAAAAATTTATTGTCAACCGCGTTTCGCTTTCATTGTTTTCCGTTTTCTGAAAATGCCAAAAATTGAAAACGGTAACGGAGAGCGTGGGGTTTTTCGCGGCACTTTCGTATTTTTGTTATTTTTTGAAACAAACAAATCGAAATACAAAATATTTGTGTTCGAAGTTCAAAGTGTGACGAAGATTGTCGGCATATGGTACCTCTCGTTGAAAGCGCCCACATGATGACAGGGCTGACCATATTACGTTTAACGTTTACTCTCTTTGAGGCGGTCCTGTATTTTTGATGTGGGTGCAAATTATAATATTTGGGTACTGAGCAGTGAGAACTGTGAGACTGGAGAGGACAGTACGTACGTATTGTATTGTTTTTTTCCTTTTCGTTTTTTCTAAAAACAAACAAAAAAACCACCCGAAGAAATATGCAATGGTCTTATTGGTTAGTATTAAAAAAAAGTTAACATATATATATATATGCCATATACCGAGCTAAAATATATGTATAAATATCAATTCGATTTATATATTCAGTGGTAGTTTGTAAATGTACTCTTTCAAGTCACTAAATCGCTATAAGCCTAAGCCTAAGCAGCTTATGGGAGCACGGTCCGTAAACAACCTGTCAACCCAGACGAATATTATATTTTTAAAAATCTCCAAAACTCAACGCGCACTTGTTCCTTTGCACTGAGTTAGCCACATGAAGGATAGAAGCAACGAATGAATGTGTTATAAAATACGAGATTCCTGATGTAGTCTGTATATACGTTGAGGTATACAAATGCTAATAACTACAGTTCGAATACTCGGAACTTCGATGGCAATACACAACTTGGTTCGGGTGGGAACGAGGTACTCTCGTGTCACGGACTGTCGAATTGGAAGGACACCAACTTTACAATTTGCTACACTGTTTTTCACTCATGAGTCAGATGGAATAAAGAAAATACTTAAGACTAGAATGTGTCAACATGAACTGATTATGGTTCACACCTTAAGCCTCGAGCTAATCGTACTTTCAGGTGTTGTACGTCAGAGTTGCTAAATCCTCGTGCGATAGACAATATCGAGAAACAGTTCTTAATCAAAATACGATATCAGAACAGGCGTCTTTCAAGGTTAGTGTGAATCGTTACTTGCTTACATTTTCCGCCGAAACACACATCAAGGCACAGCCCCCATAGATTGATGCAGAATACAATGTCTTGAAACTGCGTAAATACAACATCGCTTTGAAATAGTATCATAACAATGACATAGCAATACTGGGCCATTGTACGACATCGCATACTTCATATTAAGTCCTATGCTTCTAGAAACACCCCAGGGCCTAACTCTTCAAGCGTGACTATGGAAGGCATAACAAGAAACAAATTTGGAGAATAACAACATAATTTTTGAGACAATCATCTCAATTGTCTATAATAAGACTCAGACAGGTCTGCAATCAATATCATCAAGTTCAAATCTTGCAAATATGGAAACTAACACACTTTATTTCTGTTTGCATAACTATCAGAACAAGGCTCATTGCTCACCAGTCCTTTACGAGTAGCTTGATTTCGATTACTTGACAGCACAAGTGGGGAGTTGTAGAATACATATACAAAAATGTAAATTGTGTGCGCTAATTCATATATATAGACACAAAAACATTCGTTTGTAATTCTTATTCCATGCGTATATTTATGAATACATTTGTATGTGATACGAAAATATATATTGTTTTATTACACATACGTGTGCGTTTAATATTAAATATTTATACAAATTAACACTTGTATATATTAATACCATGTATAGACATACATACACACATAAATACAAACAGATTTACCTGTGCAGGGAGGCTAATAAGACTAGATATGCACATCCAGTATTTGTTAGTACGAGACTAACGCTATGTTCCCACTATCAATAGAATCGAAAACAAGGTCCACATTTCAGAGCACAATACAACTGAAATAAAATGCTTCAAAAAGTTGCACGAAATAGTAGTTACAAAACAATTGAAGAGATAGAGATATTCATACTTTCAAGGACAATCAAGCAAAATGACTTGCACTACATAAGCCATTCCTGATCTAGTTATTTACAACAGCTCTTATTCATCAGTTTTTTTTGCATCTTATTTATTTAAAAGATCAACACAATAACAGAACAATGCATACTTCTCATTAAGCTCTACAAAGGTCTCGTTTTGGTGGACAGTAGAGACCCAATCTTCATATCAAATATACCTAAATATCAATCAAACAGGAGATATTAGATTGGTATGATAGATGGAAAAAAAATCAGATCGAGAGGTAAGACTCAGACATCCAAGGAAGGTCTGCAAACCATCAACGAGTTGTACTCTCTGGTGAAAACTGCGAATAGGAAAAGTTTAATCACTGTCTTAAATATTAGGCAAGATGAAACGACTGCAGATACATACCTTTTAATCCACAGATTGAGGGCCAAAGAAAATCTTCATTTATAGCAGCAATTCTTCATAGTAAAACCTGAAATGTAAAAGAATAGAAAATTAATACAAGAACAAAAATCCAAAACGAAGAACAAACAAAGGGAGGTTCATCAGAAAAGAAATTGGCTTGATACAAGTATCAATAGTATTCTCGTCATTGGCGTAGGACGGGGAAAGAAGACATCAATTGAACATATAACTGCTTCTTGGTACATATTTGACCACACACCTTTTCCGAGCCAATAAGCCGACAGCATAGTCAATACGGTGAACCTGCGAAATAACAATACATTTATGAGACAAATTTTCAAAACAGATAGAATAATGTATTTAATTTTTAAGGCTCAGACATCCAAGGAAGGTCTGCAAACCATCAACGAGTTGTACTCTCTGGTGAAAACTGCGAATAGGAAAAGTTTAATCACTGCCATTTAACCAATTTGAAGATATAATAGATCAAACTTACCAGGGTTATATATATATCCTCGGCAGCAGCTCTGATCGTTCGATAATCAGTATGCACCAGGAACTGCACAAGGACAATCGGGTAAAGATATGAGAATATACTCAACATATATTTATTCGGATTTTAAACATTTAACAATCAGGCAAATAGCGGTCAGTCAAGAAATTGGCTTGATACAAGTATCAATAGTATTCTCGTCATTGGCGTAGGACGGGGAAAGAAGACATCATTCCTATTCGCACAGTACACATTATTAATCATTCGAGGGTTAAACTCACTTACCAATAAGAAAAGCAGTAACAGCCAACGAATCCATTGTCGGACGAGTAGACGCATCCAACCAGCTCTAACTCGCATCCAAAATCCGGCACACACAATGATATTTCAGGAATGGCTAGAACTACAACATACATGCAATTTTTTCTAATATCCTTGTCTTAACAAAACCAAAGAACTGTGCAGCCGGTTTGATACGAAGCTAGTCCTAAAACTATACAAGTCCGGTTCTTTATTTAATATTTTGAATCAACAAAACTTAATCGAAAAGTCCTGTGAAGAGAAAAACAGACGGATAGATCTTATTAGTTACTACAACATACTTTGAAGCATACAAGTTGATACACAAAACACACAATCAAAAGTAAAATCAGGTTGTCAGAGGTTTATCATCATAACACACCATTGGGTTAAGGCAAACTGTGAAATTTGTCTCATCATTTTCTACTTGTGCATGCATCACTTTTTGTGGGAGTCCATAAAACGCAATCGAGAACGACAGCGTGCCAAAGTAAGGTATTTTGTCAACACATTCAAATACATACCGAAACCCATGTCCTCCTCTTCGGATTCTTCCTCAGGCTCGGGCTCGGCAGCCTTCTCTGCGGCAGCAGGGGCATCACCAGAAGCAGGTGCGGCACCAGCGGCAGGGCCAGCAGACGCACTTCCTACAGCTGATAGAAGCTGGTTGACATCAGAGCCACTTAGAGCCTTTGAGAAAAGACCGTACCAGTAACTGTCGATCTTTACGCCAGCGGCGGAAACGATCTTCTCGATGTTCTCGGTGCTGATCTCAGCATCATCATCGTGAAGGATGAGAGCGGCGTCTATTAAGGCAAGATAAAATACAGGAAATGTGATAATGTAAATACATGTTCCCTTGTACGTTCGATAAGTCTTTATTGTAGCCAGGCAGATTCAACTTGAAGAACATCACGAACACGCATGCGATGCATTCTCGACAAAAGTAAACCGAGTTTAGGCGAGCGAACTACTAAGGTAGCTAGAAGATCACAAGAAAAGCAGGGCGTGAAAGAAAAACTTACATGAGCAAGCTAATTCGGCGATAGACATGTTTGTAGATTGACGCTTCGCGGATGTAGTCCGTAAGTTATGGTTACGCTTAGCTTTTGTTATTAACAAAAGAACAACACCATCAAAAGGATTGTATTGTAATAGCGTGTGCGTTTCTTGTAGTTTTGGCTGTTTAACGCGGCCCGAGGTTTCGTAGGTAGTACCAGCGCCGCACCGCGTGTGTAACTATTTTTTCCAAATAATTTATTTGAGACTCAGATCAATACAATGTAATAAATATTTACAACAAGTCAACTGCGCAAAATCACAAATTCAGTTGTGCCACAAAAACTATAAAAGGTCCGAGGGAACAACCATGGTTTTTGTTTGTCCAAAAAAGTTTGATACAGCTAAAAGCTAAAACCTAATATTTGCTGCAGTCAGACGGTCCACTTTCAAATTCGGGACAATTTGAATTGTATGAGACCTGGAAGCTTGACCTCTTTAGATGGAGGGCCTTCAAAGTTCAAAGTCCATATACAGGTAGAGTCATCAGTCCCTCTTATGAGAAACTAAACACTTTTCACAGGGGACAAATGGCCCAATGTTCTACCCCCCCCCCCCCTTTTTTTTTTTGGAAATAATGCCTACAGACCAGGCCACGAGTGACGATACACATGCAACTGGCCCAGGAGAACAATCGTTCTGTACAATTCCATAATAGACACGCGCGGCAAAGCTCTGCCCTTTTCCGAGTTTTGATCATTTCCTCTCGGTACACATTTATGTGCCATTGGTAACTAGCTAGCGTAAAACGGATGGTATTTAGTGCTCTATTTTCGTATTTGCTGAGTGAGAGACTGAGTGCCTGTCGATTATAATTTACCATCATCAATATTCAATAAAGGAGTCGAGTCTATACGATAGTTTGTATAAAGTACATTCCCTTGTCGAATATTAGTCATTCAACCAAACGCAGTATTCAGTAACAGTTGAATATTCAATATGCCTCAATCAAAGAAGGATATAAGGAATGCCCAGCAAAGAAAGGCCAAGGCCGAGGGAACTGAGACAAAGCTAACAAAGAGTGGTCACCCTGTCAAGGCGGAGAAGCCCAAGAACAAGTGCATGAAGTGTCTGAAGGAGTTTGTCATGCATCCTAAGAACAAGAAAGAACAGGTACGTGTGGAAGTTTGTCCAAGTGTGGAAACTTAGCTATAAGCAATTTGTCGTGGGGGGAGGTTGCCGTATGTCGTGTCACGTTATGTCATCACTGTCAGCGTCCTGGTAATGCTGTTTTTTTATAAATATTTATGGCATAGTTGCTTCTTTTTGTTCACAGCACTTTGTAAACAGGTAAGCCTTTAGCATGATGGCGTTAAGCGGTATTCAAAGCTCATATTTTTACAATATCAAGTTGCGCATTACCATTTATATTGTCGAGAACCTTACGGATTTAAGACTGTATATTTATTTTCAGATCGAGCACCACGCCAACAAGCACCCCAAGGAAACTTTCGACGCCTGTTTCCCAGGATACTAAATGACACAACCCACCTAGAGGAGGCCGCCAGAGCCCGAGGCTAATGCACAAACTTATATATATATATATATATAAATTTAATATATGAAAGGGGAAATATTCAAATATGAAGGCTTACGAGCGTCGGCTAAAATATGCCGCGGGTTTTGGCTTCCCATGAAAGCCGGTAGTGCTGCTGACACTACTACTGTATTCAAACAGTCTAATTTGTTCAAAACATGAGAAGAACTTCTAGATTAAAACCAATTAACTTATTTATCATAATTTCAACGTATATCGACACGCACCTGCTAATGCAAAGAGTGCTTGAAAAATCATTGACGCTTGTTTGTAGTCTGTGTGACGCTCGTGTTGCATCTTGCATGTGCCATTATCAGCTTGTGAAGCATAACTTTTTTACCAGTTATGAGCGGACAAAGTATCATGCAAATTGGATGGTATACACATAAAACATGTTTATATAGATATATACTGTATATAAATATATTAAAAACGTATATACGTATATATTCAAAAGCACACACACGTACACAATATATATACTGTATATAAATATATTAACAAACATATATATATATATATATGAACATGTCCATTTATACGTATATATATACATATACATACCCATAAATATATATAAATATCTATTTATATATATATATGAACATATATATGTTAACGTATATTTGTATGTATATATATACATATATATATATATATCACATCTACATATATATTACATCTACATACACAAATACGTTCATGCATACATCTATTTATATATATATGAACATATATATGTACGTATATATGTATATATGTATGTATATATATACATATATATATATCACATCTACATAAATATTACATCTACATACACAAATACGTTCATGCATACTTCTATTTATTTATGTATATGTATATATATGGATGTATATATATATATATGGATGTATATATATATATG